GGGGGGGGGGGGGAGTGGCGAATAGGTGGGAGAGAGAATGAACAGATTAAATGAATTTATTTCGTTATTTTACAAATTGTTCGAGTGACCAATGAGCGGTAATTTCATCTCAATATCGGGAAAAGATATGATCAATTTGCAGGAAATGAAAGTTAAAAAATTTTGAATTTTTCATTATCAAATTAAGAAAATGTTTATTCTTGCCTATTTTTCCCCAATACCGTGATTGTATCAGTTTTCGAATAGTTAAGGGACTCTCACCCATCAATATCGGATTATCTCTATTGATAAGTAGGAAAAAAAAAAAAAAATTCTAAGAGAATTAGAATTTAGAGAGAAAAAATTTCCGCTTCACCAGCCGGGAATCGAACCCGGGTCTCCCAGATACGCGCCGGGCACTCGGAACCACAGAAATTCACTCTCAAATTCACCTCAAACACCGCCTAACCTCCTTTAGGCATTAAAGAATTCTAAGAGAATTAGAATTTAGAGAGAAAAAATTTCCGCTTCACCCAGCCGGGAATCGAACCCGGGTCTCCCAGATACGCGCCGGGCACTCATGTGTAATAAACATTGACCCACCCCAGTTGTCGGATAACGTGGGCGCAGTTTTCGAATAAAGCGAATTAGAGGGATCTGTGGAAGAAAATTTAGAAAATAGTTTAAAAAAAGCATATCCAGAGCAATTTTATTGTTCTTTCACTAGTAAAAACTTCATGAAAGATTATTGAAAGAGCTCTCCACCTGTTATCCCTTCAACCCTTTGCAGAAATAACTGCACTTCGAGAAAAAAACACTGAAAATGGACTTCGATGCCTTTCAATATTTATTTGTTCGAAATTAAGTCGCACGGGTGCTCCAAATTCGGCTATTTGGGTCCCATTCGAAAGCTGATGCAACCCCGGTATATGGTGAAACAGATTGAAAAATGGATTCCGACTACAACTTGTCCAATTTCATTGCTAAATTTAGCTTTTACTATTAATGGAATTGAAAAAAATAATTCGACACTGGAGCCTCTGCATTTAATTCCGTTCCTGAACGGTGTGAAATATGAGGATGCTCGATCAGTCTCATTTTACAATTTTTCTTGTCAAGTGTCAGCGGAGAAATTGATCTCAATGTCCGTTTATCGATCAGCCAACCTTTTGAAAATAATCACCGGTGGAAAAACAATCTTCCATGGCGGATCTGCAATTTGACAGGCGATCAAATTTTAGATCCGGCGGACGGTGCAATTGCTTGTCAGTTACCTGCAGCATTACCGGATTCACCAGCGACCAGTAGGTTCCGGTCGCTCGTGAGGCGGGAGAGGAGAGAAAAAGATGGAGAAAGATGACTCTGCTGACAGTAATCTGATCGATTGAACCAACAGCGATTGATCGAGTGAAAACTGGGTAATTGCAGACTTTATTCTTTTCTCATTTATAGTGGGGATTAAGCAGACATTCGGTTAATGGAGTGAGTGCAATTTGTGGAATCCCA